CCAAGACAGGGCTCTTAATACCTGGCTGGTGTTCAGGAGAACCTTAGGGGAGTGGTTGGGGCAGCAGGCTCTGGAGTAGACCTGCCTGAGTTTGACTTGGCTTTTCCACTTTCCTGGCTGTGTGGCTTTTAGCAGGGCTGTGCCCTCTCTGAGCCTCAGTTTACTCAACTAAAACGTGGGTCATAATATCTATACAAGAGAGTCATTGTGAAGATTTAAGTAGCACAATAAAAAAAAAAAATCCTGTGGACTTAGGAAGTGCTTAAAAAACATTAGCTTTGGGACCCCTGGGTGGCTCATTCAGTGAAGCATCTGCCTTCGGCTCAGGTCATGATCCCACGGTCCTGGGATCGAGTTCCGCATTGGGCTTCTTGCTCAGCGGGAAGCCTGCTTCTCCCTCTGCTTGCTGCTCCTACTTGTGCTGTCTCTCTCTCTGACAAATAAATAAAATCTTTAAAAAAATTACAGCTTTTTAAGTGGCTCATGGAGGCCTTAGAGTGTAGGGGCGCCTGGGTGGCTCAGTTGGTTGAGCAGCCAGCTCTTGATTTCAGCTCAGATCATGATCTCAGGGTCCTGGGATCAAGCCCTGAGTCGGGCTCCACACTCAGTGAGGAGTCTGCTTCAGGTCTGCTTCTCCCCCTGCTCTCTATCTCTGTGTCTCGATTAAAAAAAAAAAAAAAAAAAACTTAAAAAAAATGTAATAAAACACCCATTATATATCAGTTTTGGGGCATGGCACTCTCTGATGACTCTCTTATTTAGTCAAATTTAACTATTTGACTTGTATATTGAGTTTTTGTTTCTGTCATTTGGACATGGAGAAATTGCTACCGAAGATGACAACTGTTTGAGGGCTTGATTGTACAGCCTCTTTTCCCTGTCACATTTAAATAATAAGAGCAAATAGCTGAATCGGTGCCTTGTATGTGATGACGGAACTGTGTCATCAGTCTGAAAAGATCTTCCCCTCTCTCTTCAGAGAGAAGGATATGTCCGTGCTGCAAACTTCTGAGTATGAGGCTGCCATTTTAACTCGAACTGTTTTGTAGACTCCATAAACACTATGAAAACAAGCTACCTTTATAAGTATAAATATAAATAGTGATATGTGTGTATAACTATAAATACTTTTCATTCAGACTGTGAACAATGCTTGGGGCCTTAGTGGACCCATGGACCTCTTACAGGAACTCCACAGCACCAGGTATCCACGATCCACACACTGAGACCCGCATACTCCATCTCAGTGTGGCTCAAGGCAAGAAATAGAGCCGGTGCTTACGGAGCATTTGGTATGCACTGGGCATTGTCACTAGCGCTTTACAAACAATCTCATCTAATCCTGTCCTTCAGCTCTCTGAAGTTGCAGCTATGGCAATCCCCGTTGCACAGGTGAGGAAGGCAAGGCGTACCTAGTTAATATATGGTGGAGCCAGGATTTGAAGCACTGGCTTGGGTGTATGTCTTTGAAGGCCCAAATTCATCCCGATTTACATTTGTTAAGGACTGCATGTTTGTGTCTCCCCCAAAATAGAATGAAGACCGAAATCCGAGGGGCACCTGGGTGGCTCAGTTAATTAAGCGTCTGCCTTCAGCTCAGGTCACGATCCCGGAGTCCTGGGATCGAGCCCCAAATTGGGCTCCCTGCTCAGCGGGAACCCTGATTCTCCCTCTGCCCTTCACCCTACCTGTGATCTCTCTCTCACTCTCTCTCGCTCTCAAATAAATAAATAAAAGCTTAAAAAAAAAAAAAAAGACTGAAATTCTAAACAAACCAACACAAAATCCTGAGCAAAGCAGAAATTTGTCCTTTAAATCTCTGTTGGTTGTAGTCACTGAAAATTGCCCAGACAGAAGGCCAGGGCTACGTCAGCCAGGCCTTGGTCACTACATAGACTCGCTAACATACGGCTCTGAGGAGAAGATGCCTGGTCCCCTCAGCTAACCAGGAGGGAGTTAGAAAGGGGAAGGCGTGGCACAGCTTTGAAAATGCTGGCGTCCCCACACCTCTCCACTCCCTTACACACAACCCAGCATGCTCTGCAATCAGATCATGGTCATGCAGTCCTATAGAACCTGCTGATTTTCCCTCAGATTCTCCACCAGCCTCTTCTGTTTTCCTCCTTTTCCCTCTCCCACTTTATTTGTTCTGTCTTCTTCCTCCCCTGCTACATACTTCCTGTGACTTATTCGAAGTTCCCCCTTGCACATTCTCCTCCCAGAGCAAACTGAGCGCAGGCCTCTTGTGTTCAGTTCTCTGAGTGGCTGTACACTTTGGTATTAGTTCATTCTAACATCCCTGCCTTACTGACCAGCAACCCCATGTTGAAGGAGACACTGAGGCATATATGGTCCTACCTTTCTTCAGGCCCCACCACAAGGCTGTGGAAGCCTGGGACAGTCCTGAAATCTGCCCTTAAAGATGCCTCCCACTCAGGGAGGGGCAGTGTCCAGAAATTAGTCACGGGCAGCCCAGTGTCTTGTTCTGCTCGGCGTGCTCACAATAAAAACTGAATATTGGCTGTAGTGGGAAAAATGAAACGAGAGAGAATGGAGAGTAGGATGGGAAGAAAAGCTAGTGGGAAGATGGGGTAAGGTGCTAGGTCTGGGGATGCCAGAGTTGAAGGACTCATGAATCGCCGGGTCCTTATGTTAGTGACGATGTTTATGAAGCACTTATGATATGCTAGGCAGGTAACCCTCACCATGACCCTTTACCTGCTTAAAGGCCAGGCTTAGTCTCTCCAAGGCTGGACAGCAACACCAGGGACTGGCTGTCTAGTTACCTCCTGTTCGCGGTGCCCGCTTGTTACAAAGCAGAGCCCAGTAAATATTTGTTGATTAAATTAACAAATAAAAGAAATAAGCAACTGGTACCCAAGATGCCCCAAGCAAGTAACTTTCTGGGTCTTCATTAACTAGTCTCTAAAATTAAGGAGGTGGACTAGGACAGATGCCTGGGTTCCAACCTCATGCCACACTTACAGAGTATGTGTGACCTTGGACAGGTCATTGAACCTCTGTGTGCCTCCTTTCCTCATCTATAAAATATTGCTAAAAGTACCTACCTCCCACGATTGTTTTAAAGATGAATTGTTGGGCGCCTGGGTGGCTCAGTTGGTTAAGCGACTGCCTTCGGCTCAGGTCATGATCCTGGAGGCCCGGGATCGAGTCCCACATCGGGCTCCCTGCTCAGCAGAGAGTCTGCTTCTCCCTCTGACCCTCTTCCCTCTCGTGCTCTCTATCTCTCATTCTCTCTCTCTCAAATAAATAAATAAAATCTTTAAAAGAAAAGATGAATTGTTAATAATTGGTAAGTACTTGGAACAGACCCTGGTACGTACAAAGTACGATGTAAGTAGAAATGTAAATTCACAAGTCCCCTCCCACGGTGTACTTTTCTCAGGCCAGGGGAGGGCGGATGGAAAGGACGCGGGGAGAACCGCCCAGAACCTTCGGGGCCGCGAAACACTCGCCTGCTCACTAACGCTTCCAAGACTACCTTACCCACAATGCCTCCCGTGGGCCCGCCCACGCGGTCTCATTCTCATCCCCTTACAGCTGGTCGGCCAGCAGTTCAAGAACTACGTTGCCCACAATGCCCCCGTTGACCGGCGTATGCCGGCTCATTCCCACACTCGGCAGCCAGCTCGGCCAATAGGGCGAGGACTATATTACCCACAGGGCTCCGGTGGGCCCGCCCACAACGGGGTGAGCCCGTGGCTCGTTAGGACCCGTCTGCTGTGTTCGTTCTGCGGGTTTGTTGGTCTCGTCGTGGACAGCTTACCGGCTGTACCCCCCCGCGCCTACGGTCCTGCTTCCAGCCCGGCCTGCCGCGCTGCCGGTGAGTGCGGGCTCGGGGTCCCGGCTCGAGCTTCCACCCCGCGGCCCGCGGCAGAGCCCGGGTTTGTGCTCTGCCTGGGCCACCGCTCACCCTCCACCTGAGGACGAGACCGGGGAACGCATCCGGCCCGGGGACTCCCAACCCTCCCAGCACCCTGGAGTTGGAGAGGCCGTGGTGACCATCCAAGCGGGGGTACCCGGGTGGCCTTCGAGGCTTGACGAGCCCAAAATCGGAGGTCAGGTCGTGACAGAATCTGCGTCCTCCTGGGCAGAGGGGGCCCTGGTTCTCACTGTATTTCCAAAGGGACCCCAGCCCAAACGGGCCTACCGTGATAATGAAAACCGCATTTCTCCAACTCTGACCCCGTTCCAGGCAATGCGGAAAACCCTTTCCAAAATCGGTTTAGGGGCGCCTGGGTGGCTCAGTCGTTAAGCGTCTGCCTTCGGCTCAGGTCATGATCCCAGGGTCCTGGGATCGAGCCCCGCATCGGGCTCCCTGCTCCGCAGGAGGCCTGCTTCTCCCTCTCCCACTCCCCATGCTTGTGTTTCTGCTCTGTGTCTCTCTGTGTCAAATAAATAAATGAAATCTTTAAAAAAAAAAGTCGGTTTAGTCCTCTCAGCAGCCTATGTGTAGGGATATCATTCTCTCTACTTTTTGTTTTGTTTTGCTTTTTTAAAGATTTTATTTATTTATTTGACAGGGAGAGAGACAGCAGGAGCAGGAACACAAGCAGGGGGAGTGGGAGGGGGAAAAGCAGGCTTCCTGCTGAGCAGAGAGCCGGATGTGGGGCTCCATCCCAGGACCTTGGGATCATGACCTGAGCAGACACTTAACAACTGAGCCACGCAGGTGCCCCTCTCTCTACTTTTTGAATGAGGAACCAAGGCCTCTAACTTGCCTGAGAGTAAACAGGAGGGTAGCAGCAAGAACGCCTTGATTTACCTCAGTCCTTTTATTTTGCCAAGGAGGGTGAGTTGGCTCTGGGGCAAGAGCAGGGCATTATGGGTAGATGCTTATCTAGCCCTAACACTGCACCCAAATGATTTATTGTTTCTCCACAGAGCCCTGCAAACATCATTTCCAGTGTCCGGCCAGAGGTACAGGGAGAGACAAGTTTGAGCCCTGAGACACAAGAAAGCAAGACCTGCCCCAGACAATGGCAGCCACACCTGGTCTCCAGCCTCCACCACCGCTGGAGCAAGACGAGATCCTGATCGTGAAGGTGGAGGAGGATTTCTGCTGGGAAGAGGAGCCCTCCCTGGAGTCGGAAGACCCCAGCCCTGAGACCTTTCGCCAGCTCTTCAGGCTCTTTTGTTACCAGGAGGTGGCCGGGCCCCGGGAGGCCCTGAGCCGCCTCTGGGAGCTCTGCTGCCGCTGGCTGCGGCCTGAACTGCGCACCAAGGAGCAGATCCTGGAGCTGCTGGTGCTGGAGCAGTTCCTGATGGTGCTGCCAGGGGAGATCCAGGCCCGGGTGCGGGAGCAACAGCCGGAGAGTGGTGAGGAGGCCGTGGTCCTCGTGGAAGGGCTGCAGCGGGAGCCCAGGAAACAGAGGCAGCGGGTGAGGTGGGGGGCAATTTGGCCTTGAGGTGAGGAAACGGGGCCCCCAAGACCTCAGGGCCCTGCTCTTGAGATCTGCATTTGGAAATCCCTTGGGCTCTGGAGCCACGGCCTGCCTTGGTCATTGTGAATGGGGGAATTGGGGCTGCCTGCTCCTGTGAATCGAAGAAGACACTGCAAAGTGTTTCTCAGCCGTGGCTGATGGGTGTAAACCCGTTGACTGAGCACATGTAGCCCCACTAGCCCTCTCTGAGCTGTGTGGGTTGTTTCATTAACATCATCCCAGCGGCGGTCAGACACGGGTTTTGATGGGAGAGAGGCTGGAGACCTTCCCAGGCAGAGCCCTGGGCATTGACGAGATCCCAAAATGAGGAGCACTAGGAAGAAAAAGCAGGGGCTGGTGGGTGCCCTGCTTAGAGCCCCCACATGTCCCCAGCCCTCTAGAGCTGTGTCATCCCATGCAGTGGCGACCAGCCACATATGATTTTTTTAAATTAAAACTAAATAAAACGTCAGATGTAGTTCCTAAGTTACACTGGCCCCATTTCAAGGGTGCAGTCGTCAGATGTCCCCAGTGGCTACTGTACTGGATACTAGACAGTGAAGACATAGGACACTTTGTTGTCATGGAAGATTTTGTGGACAGCACTGCTCTAGGGCACATTCCCAGCTTCTAACAGAATTTGAGGAGTGGGAAGTCTCACAAATTCCTTTTGCTTAGATTAGATTAGTTTTCCAGATTAAATATTTGGCAGATATGGACAGGTGGCCTTTCTCCTGTGTTAGTGCCATTGGCCACATACTTTCCTTTTTGTCCAGCAGGATAGACACATCCCCCCAAACTTGATCACAGTGTGAGTTGATTGCAGTAAGCAAATCCTGCTATCTTGGTGGCCAGCGAGAACTCAGGATCCTTTCCCAGCCCCTCCAGCCCGGGCATTGGGGTTCTTAGCATGGCTTCCCTCTGTCTCTGTGCACCCCATAACCTCTGAGGACTGTCTCCTCTTAGAGGTGTGTAATGTTGAGCCTGACGCAGGGGTCCCTGGTGCTGGTTTCACAGTTCCCTGGGGATGTTTCTTGACTTAAGTACTGTTGCAGAACTCAGTAAACTCTGAGCCCCAAGGTCATCCTAGTCATCTTTGCTGCAATTGGGAAATAGATTGTTCCAGAGAACTTGTAGGTGACTTCAAAAAGCGTAGCACATGCAATAGTGCGAATTTCTGAAATGAGACCTGGTTCAGGGTCCTCCTGGCCCAGGTCTATTGGAAGCACCGAGGAAGGGAGGGTAAGAGTGTGACAATGACACCAGTGCAGTGTGATGGGGAGAGACTGGGGAGACTCACTCAGGGACAGAGCAGGTCTCACTTTGTCCCGTTTGGGAGCCTGACCTCTTCCCAGCTCACATTTCTTCTCCCAGCATGTCTGGAGGGAGGATTGTGTGGCGTGTGGAGGGCCATGGGGGCAGGCAGGGGGAGGAAGCCCTGGGTGTGGGGGAGGTGAGGCACAGCTGGTTCAGAGCCTGGGAACAGGAGGATGGCCAGGGGTGCCTGAGACAGGAGTGGTTGGGAACCTTGTGGGTTTTCTCCCAACTTTCTGGGAGCTGGTGGGCAGATCTCTGTCTGCATTCAGGGCCTGGAGGTGCTCCCTGATGATGTACCGTCCCATGGGACAGGAGAACAGTGCTTGAAACACCAAGTGGAGGCCAGGCCAGAGGAGCTTTCTCTGGAGGAAGGGTCTGGATGCTCCAGCCAGCAGGCCCCAGCCCAGTGGAGCCACAGACCAAAGAGGGGTGAGTAGCCATCCCTCTAGATAAAAGAAGCTCTGTAGGGGAAGGAGGCAGAGGGAAAGGGGTGTCACAGGAGGCTAGGCCTCTGTGCACATGGGAAGGACACGTTCTTGCCTGGGAGCTGAGCATAGGTGGGGAGTAGTTGCACCTGTCTGGGCCTTTGCTACCGTGTGCACGGGTGGGCCGTGTGGCCTTCTCTGGCAACTCTGTGCTTTTTCCCCAGGCCCAGTGGCCTCCCAGCATCAGGAGATGGCGGCATCGGCCACGTCCTTTGTTTCATCCTGGTCCCGGGTAAGTGGGTGTTCCTGATCTGCAGCATCCCTGTGTGTCCCCTGCCTCTGTTATGGGAACACTTCTCTCCCATGCCAGGTCCAGCTCTTAGAGCTCCTCCTTCATGGAATGGCCCCTTTACCCCAACTTTCTCCTCCCGAAAGTCTTCTCTTAGATGCCATCCGCGTATTAGGTGTGTCCCAGAGGATTCTGGGGCTTAATGGTGAGCTGGGGCAATTGCTTCAAACCCAGCCAGGCACTAGACTCTTGGGACTTTGGGTAAAAATATAGATTCCTCCCCCAGCCCTGGCCTGGAATTGGAGTCTCCTTTGCTTGTTTGTTTAAATAACAGCTTTATTGAGGGGCGCCTGGGTGGCTCAGTTGATTAAGCATCTGACTCTTGATTTCAGCTCAGGTCATGATCTCAGGGTCGTGAGATCGAGCCCTGTATCAGGCTCTGTGCTCAATGGGGAGTCTGCTTGAGATTCTCTCTCTTTCCCTCCCTCTGTTCCTTCACCTGCTCATGCTTACGCTCACTCTTTCTTTTTCTTTTTTTTTTTTAAAGATTTTATTTATTTATTTGACAGAGAGAAAGAGAGAACACAAGCAGGGGGAGTGGGAGGCAGAGGGAAAGGGAGAAGCAGGCTTCCTGCAGAGCAGGGGGAGCCCGATGGGGGACTCGGTCCCAGGACCCCGGGATCATGACCTGAGCCGAAGGCAGTCACCTAACCAACTGAGCCACCCAGGTGCCCTCCTTCTTTCTAAAATAAATGAATAAAAAATAACAGCTTTATTGAGGTATGATTCACATACCACGCAGCTTAGCTATTTAGAGTGCATAGTGTTTAGCGTATTTATAGAGTTATGCAACCATCATCACAGTCTTCAAAACACTTTCCTCCCCAGGACACCCCATACCCATTAGCAGCACACCCCCATTCCCTCTTTCCCAGCCCATGGCAACCTACTTTCTGTCTCTACGGATTTGCCTCTTCTAGACATTGTTTGCTTGGGTTTTAATCTGCTGCTCAGGTCAGTCTGGTGCCAGATTTGGCACGACTGGCCTACAGGCATCCTGAAGTTCCCAAGACACCCCCCTCGGGTTCCAGGGCTGGTTGAGCTGAGGCAGGCCATACCTGACTCGTCCCCTGGGGAACGTGGGCCCCGGTGGCTGAGCGTGCAGTGGAACCAGCTGTTCCAGACAGTGAATCTGTCCACACTGTCTCTGGCCCAGCAGCAGTGGGACAGGGCGGCGGTGACGGTGTCCTCCCAGGGAGCAGGATTTAGCCGTTCTGTGAGTGGAGCCTGAGGAGGAGGGGTGGCCAACAGTGTATGGAGAGGGAAAGTGTTGGAGAGAAGAAGTGGGGGGAGGCAAAGCAGGACCTGCCATTGTGATACAGGTGGAGGGGGTGGGTGAGCCCACCAGGCTGGCCCACATGACAGAGCTGTGGCATAGGACTGAGTGGCTTGCATTCCAGCAGGTGCCAGTGACCTTGGAGGACATGGCGGCGTACCTATCCCAGGAGGAGTGGGAGTGCATGGACCCGGCTCAGCAGGACCGCAGCTGGGACGTGCTGCCGGAACACGGGGGTAACGTGCAGAGAGACCCTGGCCATTGCTCATCAGTGGCGTGTCTGAAGTGGGCCGGTCTCGGGGAGGGTAGCTCCTTCCCTTAGGCTGGCTGTGGCCAGCTCAGCATTTCCCAACAGTTGTGTGTGGGCCTCAGGCACCCTAGGCCCAGCATCTCCCTGCTCTGTATCTCCCATGTCTCCGTACCACTTACAAAAGCCAGTTCAACAGTTCTCAGGCTGCAGTGGCCCGAGGAATCACTGGGGAACATGTTGAAATAAGAACTCACACCCTGTTCCCAGGTGGGTTCACTGGGCCAGGGGTGCTCCCTGGAGAGTCTGCTCAGCAACCAGCTGAGTGCAGCCTGCAAAGCCAGGGTTGCTAGTGACCTGTCAGGGGCCCACTGCAGTGGGGAGAGTATGGCTGCTCGCCTTGCCCCAGGCAGGTGCCCACAGTTGTCCTGGGTTCCTTATTCTTTTGTTCCTTTACCCACATGGTTGGTCCCGTTTCACGTTGGCCTCTGTGCTGCCCATGGCTCCCATGGGTAGAGCTGCTTCTGGCAAGGCCTTGGTCATCCACAGCCTCTCCTTACCACCCCCACCCCCACCTCACCACCCAACACTATTCCTGCTGTTCTTCCCGCTCAGCTCATCTTGGCACTCCAGATACCCATTCACTCCCTGAAATAGGTTCTGAAGGAATTGAGATGCTTCTTTGTATCCGTTGGGTTTCTTCAGACAAAGAGAACCAATAGTGTGTGTGTACATTAAGACATTTATTTTTGGGCGCCTGGGTGGCTCAGTCGTTAAGTGTCTGCCGTCGGCTCAGGTCATGATCCCAGGGTCCTGGGATTGAGTCCCACATCGGGCTCCTTGCTCCGCGGGAAACCTGCTTCTCCCTCTCCCACTCCCCCTGTTTGTGTTCCTGCTCTCGCTCTCTCTCTCAAAAAAAAAAAAAACATTTATTTTTAAGGAATTGGCTCATAGGATTGTGGATGCTGACAAGCCTAAAATCACAGGACAGGCCCGCAGGCTGGAAATTCGAGTGAGAGTTGATGTTGCAGTCCTGAGTCTGATATCTGCAGGGCAGCCAGCGGACCGGAGACCCAGGCAGGATTTCTGTATTACAGTCTTGAGGCAGAATTCCTTCTCTGGGGGAGGCACCTGGGTGACTCAGTTGGTGAAGTGTCCAACTTGATTTCAGCTCAGGTCATGATCTCAGGCTTGTGAGATCAAGGCCTGCAAGGGGCTCCATGCCGGGCAAGAAGCCTGCTTAGGATCCTCTCTCCCCCTCTGCCCCTCCCTGGGAAACCTCAGGTCCTGCTCTTAAGGCCTTCAACTGATTAGATTTCGAGGCCCACCCGCAGTGTGGAGGGTGATCTGCTTTATTTACAGTCAGCTGATTGTAGACGTTAAGCAGATCTACAGATGACATCCTGAGAGGTTATTTAGCCTGGCTGTGGTACCACTGTTTAGTTAACACCAAAACACTGTTGACATTGGGGCTGTAGAATCCTCCGTTAGGTTGCCATCTAGTGAGCTATAGGATGTTCACCAGCATCCCTGGCCTTCACCCACTAGATGCCATTTGCAATATTGTTCTCCCCAGTTGTGACAACCAAAAATGTCTTCAGACATGCCAAGTGCCCTCTGAAGGCCACCATTGCCCCCGGGTAAGAACCCCTGGCCTAGAGGTTATGAGCCCAGGCTCCAGAGCCCGTCCTGTAACTTACTAGCCCCGTGACTCTGGGTAAGTTCCTCAGCGTCCTCCTCCTGCAATGGGACAGTAAGGGCACGCGCTTCACTGGCGTCGTGAGGCTTTCACGAGCTGCTGGCCATGGTCCACTGTCTCCGTTCAGGGTCTGACACTCCCCTGCTAAGCGCTCTGAGGCTTGCTCTCATGTTCCTCAGGTGGGACAGCCGCCCAGCCTCTGCCTCCTTATTGTCCCCTCTCCCTGTGAAGGCCTCAGGGACTGTGTTTTCTCTGTCCCAGGGCTTGGGCTGCAACTTGAGGACGGACAGGACACCAGGGAGGACGTGTCAATGGGAAGGGAGCGGGACCGAGAGCTGGTCAGGGGCATGGCCAGGCCCGAGCAGCCTCTGGAAAGAGGAGGGCCGCGACGAGTCGAAAAGCCGTACACGTGCCCCGAGTGCGGCAAAGCCTTTAGCAAAACGTCCCACTTGACCAAGCACCAGCGCACGCACACCGGGGAGCGGCCCTACAAGTGTCAGGTGTGCGGGAAGGGCTTCAGTGACCGCTCCAACTTCAGCACGCACCAGAGGGTCCACACGGGCGAGAAACCCTACGCGTGCGCCGAGTGCGGCAAACGCTTCAGCCAGAGCTCCAGCCTGGTCATCCACCGCCGGACGCACACTGGGGAGCGGCCTTACGCCTGTGCTGAGTGTGGGAAGCGCTTCAGCAACAGCTCCCACTTCAGTGCGCACCGGAGGACACACGCGGGCGAGAAGCCCTTTGTGTGCCCGGCCTGTGGCAGGGGCTTCCGCCGGGGCACGGACTTGCACAAACACCAGCGGACCCACAGTGGAGAGCAGCGCCTGCCAGGCTTGCAGAGCCCCACGGCGCGGCTCCAGGAGGCCCCCGGGGTGAAGCCCAGCCGCCACTCATTGAGCTGCCCACCTCCAGAGTTCCATTCAGAATTTTGAGGTCAGAGTTCATGAAGCTGCTGGAGTTACTGTCCTGGAACCAGAACCCTAATCTGAAGGCATTTCAGACTGACCCTGTTTGCCCCTGGTGGGGGCCCAACCCATGGCTGTGGGATATTTCAGGTGCCCAGGCCGAGGGAAGAATCCAGGCACTGAGTTCAGCAGTGGCAGCTGGACATGGAGCAGGTAGACCTGGGTCCTGGGTCCGCTGTCCAGGTGACCACAGCCTGGGTGGCTCACCACCCCAGGGATGGATAGTCACTGTTCAGGAGGCCAGAAGGCCAAACCCAAGATGTGGGCAGGGCTGCTTCCTTCTGGAGGCCCTGATGGGAGAGACTGTCCCACGCCTCTCTTCTGGCTTCTGGTGTTGCCGGTGTCCCCGGTGTTCTTGGCTTGTGGCCACATCGCTCCCGCCTCTGCCTCTTCTCTGCTCTGGTGTCCTCTTCTAAGGGCACAGTCATTCGATTTAGGGCCCCTGATCCAGAATGACCTCATCTCAATTACATCTGCATAGACCTTGTTTCCAAATAAGGGCACATGCTGAGGTTGTGGGTGGACATGAAGCCGGGACGCTTGTCACCCACTTCGGGGAAGCCTCCAAAGCTCCAGTTCCTTGCAGCGTTAACATACCCCAGCCTTCCCTGGCCTCCCACCTTCCCCTCCAGCCTTGCCACACCCAGTATGTAGCCTGTGGGGGCTTTTTCTGTATCCCTGTGGTGTTAGCGGGACAGTGGGGTGAGTTGGGGGTCACCTTCATAGATCCATGGCTGTTCTAAAGGATGAATACCTGGTGTGGGAACGCTTCCCTGATACCCCATCTTCCAACCTCCCCGGCCCATGAGGAAGCCTGTGGATTGGACCAGCCTTGCCATCTGTCCCCAGGGCAGGAGTCCAGGGTTGCCTTTGCTCCAGCCCCAAGTGGCCCGGACAGAGGCAGCCTTGGCTGCCCCTCTTGGTCTTTCTGATCTGTTCACATCCACTGTGTCCTGGGCAGCTGAGGGGAGCAGTAGAGAGTCCTAGTTTCGTTTCATCATCACTGGAGTCTTGGAACAGCTGCTGAAACCCCTTGGTTCTGGAACATTCCATGCAGGGAGTGTGGCAATTTCCCATGGCGGGGTTGCCTTGGGCCTTGTGCTGTGCTCCATTCTGTTGGTCACCCAATCACTGTAGGTATTTTCCACCTTTCAGCATAACCCAGGTTCCAGGGTGCGTGATCTGTTCTCGGTTCCCTTAATAAAGTCGGTCCCTCTGGCCTCGTGTGCTCTGCCTGGTGTGTTCTCCAGAGAAGGGGGCCACTCAGTTGAAGCATGGTTTGACCTTCTAGGCCAGCTGCCAGGGCTCTTGAGCACAGCTGGCTTTGCCGACCACCCTCCTTCCCTATGCGGCCGTGAGTCTGCGGGTTCACTTCTGTCATGTCCAGGCTGGTGCTGGAGGCCGCCGGCCGCCCGCTTCCTGGCCTGGGACCTGGGCCCATTAGTACCCGTTCCAGAATATTCTCTCACATAGTCCTAGGACATAGGGCTTTTGTGACTCTCCTTTTATAGATGGGAAACTGAGGTCCTGAGTGCTTCACCTTGTCCAGGTGACAGAACTCCTACCACATCATCCTTTCGGCTTGCCTTAACGGTCATTCACCCAGTTGAACACTTGGAACAAAGAGTTTATTTTCTCTCAGTTTGTGAAACATTCTTAACAAACTAATGACGTTAAAAGGGGTAGAGATGGGGAAAATGGGTTTAAAGGAAAAAAAGCTGGCCATTGCTCCTGACAGGCTGCATGGGTGGAGGTGGTCACGTTTAGTCTGCCTTGCCCAGTGCCTGAGCCCTGACCAAACTGCACGTGCCCTGGAGCAGAGGGTGAGGGACTTTCACAGATGGGCAAGACCCAGGAGCCCAACTGATGCAGTGTGGTTACTTGCCCTGCCGGTAGGCCCACCCAGGGCTTCCTGTGGCCTTGGTGGAAGCTGCCTTGCCCCTGGCCCCTCATCGTTGTGGGTGGGGGCTGCTGTGGGGGCCCCCATGGCCATATCAAGTAAGGTCTGTGGCCCTGATCATGACTAGCTGAGGCCAGGCAGAGCCTGCCTTGCCTGGTGCAGGGCTTGATGGAAAGAGACCCTTGCCCATCCTCAGCGCATGCTAACAGGTGATGACTCCAGCTGAATCCTGGGATACATGCCCAAATGCCAAGGACCCTACCAAGCCACTGAGCCCATGTCACAGGGGGACTCGAGATGACTGCTTTTCCCATGGGGCAGGCAGGGCGGAGTGGGGCAGAGGCTCTGAGAAGCAGAATCTCGGAAACAAGTTGACGAAAGAACAGAGGTAGCCACAGAACAGGGCTTCAGCCTGTTGGGGACAGCAGGGCTGAGAACAATACGAAAGGACTCTGAAAATGGGCGGTGGGGGGTGATGTTTGCAAAGTAACGAGAAGGATGTCCTCCACAAGGCCGGGCGCCGCTCTGTTCCGTGGGGACCGTTTGGGTGTCAGGACACTCAACACTCTCTGTGGAAAGGTCAACTCCACCCATAATTTGGAAGGACCCTAAAACAGATGTGTGCCTTTGTATCTTGGTTAAAGAAAAAAACCTGCAGTCTTCCCCCATTTATCAAAGAGTCCATTTGGTGTGTGAGAGAGAGCGGGTGGTGTGTTCATTTAGGCACATAAATAGCAAGCAGCCAGGGACCCAGAAGATCAGGCTCAATTCTCTTCCAAGACCCTTTCTCTAAACCCTGAAATTCTCTAAATATGTTTTACTTGAGTTTTAGCTTTAGAAAAAGCTTGCATGATGGCAATAACAGAAGAGTGCAGACATGAGAGAGAAAACACCCGATAGTCCCCCTGTTGGCACGGACCGTGCTCTCCGTGGGGTCTGCTTCCGAGGCGCTATTGTCCTGCTCTGTGTACAACTGTGTTCTGGCATCTTTGCTCTAAGTGCATAGAATGATCTGCCCCGCAGCCTGAGGGTCCCCGTGCTGCAGAAGAAGCACCTTCTCACAGAAACAAGGGAGAGCCGGGGGCCCAGGCATATGGATGGAGAGTGGAATCATCCCGCCCAGCTCCTTCTCTCATCTGGTCCAGGACGCAGCTACAGTTGGTCCAGGGGAGGCACCAGGGCCTCCCTGGCTGTCCCTGGCCCAGGAGCGTCCCCTAGCGCCCTGGGACCTCCCCCTGGGCATCTGGCCTGGGTGCTCTGCCGCTCGGCCCAGGCTGGTATATGTTGCTTTTTCCCAGTTGCTGGATCTTCAGGGACCTGAGCCTTCTGGCCACTGGGACCCCCAGTGGCAGGCAAATTGGGCTGAGCCGTCCCCTTCCGAAATGCCCTGAGCTGTTGGAGAAGCTGACTCTTCCCAGTGCAGTCCCTGTGACACAAGAGACGATCAATCAACACCAAGTGGAGCCAGACCTCCCCACAAGAAGGGGCCAGAGTGCTTCCAGAAGCATGTTCCCTGGTTCTCAAGACGGTAAGTGAGAGATTTTGGCCTCTCAGCCCGTGCTGAGTCACAGGGCATGTTAGCATGTTTAAGGCTTCTGGGAGCCCACTCGTGTGACGCTTCTCAACTCAGATTTTTCTTCTTTTTTCCTATATGCCTAATCATGTACCACTTTAGGGGAAAAGCTGTGTTTGATCTTCCCAGAGGATAGGATCCACAGGCTTTGCAATTCCAAAAAGTGGCCTAGGACCACCATGTGTGGGGCCTCTGCACGGTGGGGAGCTGGACTTCTCTGAATGGGACACTGCTTCCTTCACCCAGGCCTTTCATTTCTAGCCAACAACCATCACTTCATTCCATCCCAACAACTTCATTTCCAGTGCTATCAGGAGTAGGGAGCAAATAAATTTGGGCAGCTATTTTTCAGAAGGAAAGTACTTATCCCTTCTCAGGAATGAACTAAGGTGTCCTTGGTGATGTCGGGAGGACAGCATTCCAGGCTGGGCCTCAAGTGGGCTCCCATGGGCCACCTCCTAGACCCCCCACCAGACCCGCACGTGCTGGCCTTATGGATGCAAGACAGAGCTGAAAGCACAAATGTTCAGTGTGCCAGCCTGAGGGCTTGCTGTGGAAAGCAGGGATGGGACGTCCCCAGGTGATGGGAGCCCCTTGGTGGTTACCGTAGGCGGCGGGAGGAAGGACTCTCCTGCTTGGCTGGGTCCTGCTGGTCTCTGAGGGCCACTGTAGCCTCTTCTTCTTCCTCGCTGTCGGAGGAGCTGGAGCTGAGGCTGGAGCTGGAGGAGAGGAAAGCTGGCTTCACGGAATGTGCCCCAGGCCACCCAGGCCACTGGGATTTCCTGCCAAGAGGTGGAGGGACACACCCCAGGGCCATGTACCAAAGCCCAGACTCTGTTTGCTTAGAGCTCCACCTGGGTTCTTCCCTCCCTGCAGGGAGAGCCTGCTGATGGGACCAAGTGGGATTGTCGGCCAGGCTCAGCTCCTGGTTAATAGCACTTCTCCACTGAGCAGTGCTCTGGGGCTAGCCCACACCAGTGTGACTCCCACCTGTATGGGCACCTGCTCCTCCTGAGGCCAATGGGAGCAGTGCAAAGCAGGGCTGTCACCACTCCCAGTACCTTTCCACCGACCCGGGGTCTGATGGCTCCGAGGGTCGCAGATCGATGAAGATGGTGGGAGGCTCTGCGGGGCTCCTTAGCTGCCTGCTCTCGGCCAGTGTCAGGCCCAGCTCGGCCTGGAAGCCTGGCTCCCTCGGAGCAGATCTGAGATGAGAGAGCAGGGTTTCTGAGTCACTTCTGCGTGATTATGGTGTGACCTGAGCTAGGCCCTGTAAATGCACCTGCTCTTTTGCTCTTCAGAACCCTCAAGATTTGGCCAGCACTGTCCAATGGGACTGTCCCTGGTGACTGAAATGTTCTATATTTGTGCTTCCCAGTGTGGTAGCCATTTGCCACAAGTAGCTTTTTAAATTTACTTGTAAGCTAATTAAAATTAAATTTAAAAATAAAATAAATTTGGGGTACCTGGGTGGCTCAGTTGGTTAAGTGTCTGCCTTCAGCTCAGGTCATGATCCCGGTCCTGGGATTGAGCCCCACGTTGGGCTCCCTGCTCAGTGGAGAGTCTGCTTCTCCCTCTCCCTCTGCCTGCCTCTCTGCTTACTTGTGCTCTCTATCTCTCTTTATAAATAAATAAATAAAATCTTTTAAAAAAGTAAATAATAAAAAAATAAATTTAAAAAATTCATTTCCTCAGTTGCACCAGCCACATTTCAAGGGTTCAGTAGCCACATGTGGCCAGTGGTTACCAATTGGACAGTACGAGTTTAGATAGTGCTTTTTTTCCTTTTTTTTTTTTTAAGATTTTATTTATTTATTTGACAGAGACACAGCGAGAGAGGGAACACAAGCAGGGGGAGTGGGAGAGGGAGAAGCAGGCTTCCCGCCGAGCAGGGAGCCCAATGTGGGGCTCGATCCCAGGACCCTGAGATCATGACCTGAGCCGAAGGCAGACACTTAATGACTGAGCCACCCAGGCGCCCTTCCTTTTTTTTTTTTTTTTTTTAAGACTGACTTATTTATTTGAAAGAGACAGAGCGCAAGCCAGGGTGGGAGGAGCAGTGGGAGAGGGAGAAGGGAAGCACACTCCCCTCTGAGTGTGGAACCTGCGATCATGACCTGAGTCAAAACCAAGAGTTGGTCACTCAACCGTCTGAGCCACCCAGACACCCCTAGATATTTCTATTGGTCACTGGGTTGCCAGGAACAGAAGACCACTCCAAATGGCTTGGGTGAAAGGAGAATTCATTGGATCTCAGATTCCTAAAAAAGAGTGGGAAGCTAGGTTTTCAGGGATCCTAGTGCCCTGTGCCCACCTCTGCCCTCCAGCTTCAGTGTTTCTCACTACAGCTGGCCTTTCTCTGCCCTCCCACCCCCACCCAGAGACAGGGAGATTGGAAATTCTCACAGAAAGGCTCTGATTGGCCTGGCTTGGGTCAGACTCCAGGGCTGGCCTAATTAACAGCGGCCAGAGGGGCAGGGTCCTACTCTGGGGGAGCCATGTGGATGGTGAAGGGAGGGTTCCCAGGGGGTGTGCAAGAGCAGGTACTTTGGGGCTTGAGTCCCAGCTCTGCCATGTATGGCCTGGGTCACTCAATCTCAGCCTCAGTTTCCCCATCTATAAAAGGGAGATAATAGCACCTACCTGATCAGATTCTTGAGATGAAATGAGAACTCTACATCAAGTGCCCCACCCAGGATACATCTGATACTTGCTGTAAGACCATGGCCAGTTCTACAGAGAGGACACGGGCTGTGGCTGGCAGAAGTCTCACCTGCTCCTGGCCTCCTGCTGCATGGTGTCCTGAGGTGTGTCAGCAGGCATCTTCCAGGCAGAAGGGGCTCTGGAATGTGTGGCACACAGAAGGATGAGCTGTTCCATGAGCCTGTCCTGGCTGTTCGGCGGGGTGTGGTCTGATGGGAGAGCGGGGAGGCTGCTGAGTGGGGACACCCACGGTTTGACTGACAGCAGCCTGAGCCTTAGGACCCCTTGGACTCCCTCGTAAAGTAAAGGCCCCATAAAGTAGGAGTGACTTATTAACAGGTTCCCTCACTTCCTCACCCCCCAGTCCCACTCGTCAGAGGGAACCAGAATTAACAGTTCTGTGTGTTCACTTTTTAAAAAAAATAGCAACAGGATTATCCTCCATAGATTTTTTTTTCACTGAATAGATTATATCGTTCTGTGTTAATATACATAGATTCTCTTCTTTTGAGCTTTAGAGCATTCTGTGGTGTAACTGATTTAGCTTGACTCCTATTGAATATTGAATATGGGTCATTTCCAAATTTTCACAATTATAAACAGCACTGTAATGAACATCCTTGAATACACATACTTACCCATTGGGGTGTGTGTTCAGGATAGACTTTAGCAGTGGAATAAGTGGACGATGTGGCTTATGTGGCTTTAAACAGAGAATGGATTCTGCCACACTGCCCTCCAAAGAGGGTATATTGGTTACAGCCCCCAGCCCAGGCCCTGCCTGACAGGAGGGAGGGTTTCTCCACATCCTGCTATAAAGGCTTTAAATTACAAACAAAACCACGTTGAAACAGCACCAGGGGCTGTCAGCCACAGAGGAGGTTTGCTCTGGAATTAGAGGCTAGAACCCCCACACCTCCTTGCTCTTTGCCTCAGACCAGCCTCTGCTTACATTTGTGACCCAGGATGGCTGGAGAGGCAGGGAGGAGCTTTCCTTTTATTTACAGAACTGCCCAGAGCAAGGGCACAAATGCAGTGGCAGTAATCACATCCCTGGCTTTGTCGACGGGGAGGTGAGGGGAGGCAGGGTGTGCTTAGCTGCTGGCTGAAGGAGCACAAATTGCAGATTGCTTTGCTCCCAGAAAGAGAGGGAGGAAGCCCTGGAGGTGGGCAGGAGGGAAAGGTGTGAGTCAAGGGTAGGGACCTGTCTGAAGGTCCCCCTCTGGGGCTTGTCCACTCCCGACACCTAGTAGGGGGTCATGTATATGATGAGTGAATGAGTGAGTGGATGGATGGATGGAAGTTTCCACGGACTGGCACCTGTGTGCTTGGGACTGTGAGGGCCGAGCAGCAGAGAGGACATGGTGGGCTGCAGGGCTGACCCTATTTTACTGAGAGGATCTGGAACGAGCTGCTTGTGGGGATGCACTTGGGCCCTGGCATTCAAGGTCAGACCTCGGCCCAGGCGGTCAGCTGCCCACCACGTGGCTGTAGGCGCGCGATCTCCCCTGCTGCCTTCTTGCCCTGCCAGACTCTGAAGGATGTGATCCAAATCCCACTCTTCAAGTTCCTGAAATAATTAAAGCAGTGATTACGAGGTAGCCACACGGTCCTGGCGGCGGGAACGCCCGATTCCGTAGCTGCTGTGACCCACGGAGGGTTGTTTCGGGTTAGAGATCCCCAGGGTTTAGGTGCCTGCCCACCTGGGCACTCTCACCCGTACCTCCTACCATCTCCTTCCTACGCCTCTTTTGAGCAATACTTTTGTTTTTGGTACAAAGGCTGTTTGGCCTGGAAACCCAGTGTCGTCTTAAGCTCCTTAGGTTCATACAGGTTTAGTGTTGGGAGGTTTAAACGGTTTGCTCTTTTTTTTTTTTAAAGATTTTATTTATTTATTTGAGAGAGAGAGAGAATGAGAGATAGAAAGCACGAGAGGGAAGAGGGTCAGAGGGCGAAGCAGACTCCCTGTTGAGCAGGAAGCCCGATATGGGACTCGATCCCGGGACTCCAGGATCATGACCTGAGCCGAAGGCAGTCGCTTAACCAACTGAGCCACCCAGGCGCCCACGGTTTGCTCTTTTAAGGAACAGATTGTTCTGGGCTGGTGCTATCACAGGAGGACTTGGAAGAGAGCGCTGGGGGCGCCTGGGTCTGATGAGAGCAGGGAGGAAGCTAAGTAGGGATTAGTGTTTCTTGGGGACCCTCTTGCAGCCCCGTGCAGCCCCAGAGGTGAGTGGAAACAAGTGTATGGGGCAAGCAGAAAGGAAAGAATGGCTTATTTCAACAGCAATTGATAAGAATGGAAGTGGTAAAAATGACCTTCATGTACAACCTGATGCCAGTTTTCTCTAAGTTGTTAAGAAAATTATCAAAATTTGCAAATAAGGCAAAAAAGAATTGCACAGTGTTTAAATGTCACGCTGGAGCTTTTCTGACGAGCCCACCTTCCCTGAGGGCGGTAATTTGGTTTCCGCAGGCGACCAGGGCCCACCTATGTTACGACTTTGTAAAACTGAGAAACAGGTGCAGGGGTTTTCTGTCCCGTGGAGATGACCCCAGAGGTAACAAACAGCTTTGCGGCTTGTCGGATGTTGACCAATTTTGTGCTTCATGTGCAATTTTCCTCAGCGTCCCTTTCTTTCTCCCCAGTGTTTTACAAAATCCCAGTTTCTCATAACCTCTCTGAACCGGCTTCGTCATCCTGCTGGTTCCCTCGTTAATGAGCTAAATACAATGTTAACAGGTGCTCACACTCTCTGTATGAAAATGAGGGCTTTACCATTTGGGAATTATGTTTTAACAAAGTTTGTTCTATGTCTTACGTGTGGTTGTCTGTCTTTATAAACATGCTTTGGATTAGTCTGTCTTTCCTTCCTCCCTTCTCTTTTCTTTCTTTTTTTCTTTCTTTCTCTCTCTCTCTCTCTCTCTCTCTTTCTTTCAAGGCTGGAGTCTCCTTGCTCTTCCTTGTTCTTGTTACCGCTGCCCGCTGAGACAGGCATGACCGCCCGCTGAAGGACCTGGGACCATGGGCCTAGGGGCCTAAGGTCGTTGCTGTAGACTAAATGTCTGCATCCCTCCAAAATTCACAGGTTGAAATCCTAACCCCCAGTGCGATGGTGTTTTGGAGGTGAGCTGCTGGAAAGTGATAAATAGGTCATGAAGGTGGAGCTCTTATAAAAGAGGCCCAGAGAGCTTCCTTGCCTCTTCCACCATACGAGGACCCGGCCAGAGATGCCATCTTTGAACCTGGAAACAGGCTCTCACCAGACATCAAATGTACCGGCGCTGTGGTCTTGGACTTCCCAGTGTCTGGAACTGTGAGAGATGAATTTCTGGGGTTTAAGGCCCCCTAGTCTATGAGAGTTTGTCACGGCAGCCCAGATAGACTAGGACAGGTATAGTGGGGCCAGGCCTGTGCAAGCCCCCGCCCCCACTCCAAGGAAGTGCAGGCTAGGGGGATGCCTACCTTGAGGGAGAGCACCGGAGGTCCTTCCTGAGGCCCCTCTGGGGGTGTTTCTGGTCTCAGACCTGCCACTCCCGCGGCACGGGGTGCTTCCTCCACTGGACTTCGGTCACAGCAGGCTGGGCCCCGGGCATCCCAGGTAACTTTATGGAGTATGTCCTTCTCAATCATCTTTCTTCTCTCCCTTTGGAGGGCTCTGTGGGCTGTGGAGTCTGTGCCCCAACGGGCTCGTGAGGCAGCGCCTGGGGGTTCTGTTTTCAGGTCGCATTCCCACGGGGAGAAGGTGGCTTCTCCGTGTGGCCCCCGGGGAGGACCCTGGGTGCTGAAGGGCACAGCCCCATGGTTGCCTTCCTGCCACATGGGGGTGTCCTCAGGCACCCGAAGAAGGGAACAGGCCTCACCACAGCTCTCTACAGGCCCGTCAGGGTCCCTGCCTTGCAGAGAGGCAGAACCCCTTGTCTTTGGGCCCCACTTACTCCAGGGTTCTGCAGTGAATTCCACAGGCCCCACATCTGGCTGTGGAGAAAACAGGTGTCCTTAGCATCCTCAAAAACATACTGCGGGGAATTTTTATGTGTGTGGTAAAATACGTATGTAACATAAAATCTGCTATTTTGATTGTTACAAAATGTATCATTCAGTGGCATTAAGTACATTCATAATGTGCAACCGTCACCGCTGTCTATTTCCAAAGCTTTTTTATCACCCCAAAGGGACTGTGCCTCCCCACCCCCCAGCCCCTAGTAACCTCCAGTCTACTTTCTCTCTCTGGATTTGCCTGTTCTAGGTATGGCATATAAGTGGAATCCTACAGTATTTGTCCTTTTGTGTCCTTGCTTAGCTCAGTGTTTCCAAGGTCCACTGGGGTGGTAGCATGTGTCAGTACTTGGTTCCCTTTCACGGACTGCATAATGTTCCATTGTATGGATACACCACATTTTGTTTGTCCGTTTTTTGTGTTGATGGACACTTGGGTTGTTTCTACCTTTTGGCCACACAACTATTAAGGGGTGGACAAGAAGAAATCCAGGCCCTTTGACTCCAGAGCAAGCCCACAGCCTCTGCCCCTGTGAGTCGATACAGACTTTCCCTTTCCAGACTGAAAAAAATTCTCCAGAAGAGTCGCCAAGGTAATTATAGAAATGAAGAAAACACGAGATAAGACCATGTGGACATCGCTGCACCTGCACTAACCACAGGGCTTGGCAGCCCCGGGAATTTCTCCTGTTTGGGGTTATACTTCTAGGCATGGCTGGGTGAGTGGGTGACGTCTGTCCTAGTGATGGGTAGGAGACATGCCCTGCCTGGTTCCGTAAAATGACCCCGTGTCAGTGCTTGCACTGAGAGGTACAGACTGTGGCACATAACCACTCGGCCCAAACCAGCACGGAGAGACTTGACCAGACTCTAGAATGGCTTCCAGCAGCGCATGGCTAGGATGACCGCAGCCCTGCCTGAGAAAGCTCAATGCTGCAGGGAGAATTTAGTGTTTGTTCCAGCCAACAGCTGACCTCCCTTTCTTAGAGCATTTACTAAAAAGGGTTTATTATTGTGAGTATGTGTCTCTTAAAACCGAGAAGCATCTGTCATGGGAGAGCCATTCCTTTGGAGGGACCTGGCTTCTGTCTCCCTTCTCCGTGGGAGGATAGACTGCTGACTTCCATACCTGCCAGTGACACACCTCCTGGCCTGGTCACACCCCCACTGACCCGCTGTCTGTGATCGTTCACGACCCTGACTCTAGTGGGTCTTGCTCTCCTCCTCCCTCCTTCCTTTAAAACCCCAGTCACCTCTGCACAAACCCGACAGCGCTCAGCTCTTTCCCCTGCTGTCAGCAGTTACTGAATAAAGTCTGCTTTCGCTGCCTTGACGGATGTCTGGCTGCGTTGGTCTTTGACAATATCCCCCATTCCCCTGGTTAGTGAGTGACCACTAGTCATAATAGTTACCATGGAGCTAAGCCAGTCTCCTGGAGCTTTTAACAAGAGTCAGACAGGCCTGACCGGTTGGGGACCTGCCCAGGGATGAAAGCCTATTGATGGCTTCTATTTATAAAGGCAGCAATTAACTTTAAGCACCAAGCCATTAATTTTAGATAGAGTTTTTGCTCTCTGAGAAATGGGAAGACAAGAAGATAGAAAATTTGCTCTGCCGGTTGGCAATGACTAACTATGATACTTAGTTATAGAGTGTGCTGTGGTGTTTTCTAATTGTTTCTTGTGTTCGCCTTGCCTCTCCAGCTAGGGGCACCTTCTTATCTCTGAATCCCCACTGTCACCCTTATTAAATCAACAAATGTTTGGGGAGTGCTGGGGTTTTATAACCTCTTTGACTCCCATTATTAGGGTCTGGTGAGAGCATGGCCACCCAGACCCATACCCCATTCTGCCCGCAGGGGCCCAGCCTCGTGGATCCCCGGAGCCTGCCTCCTACAGACCTCAGGAGGCCCAGCGGCCGTAGCAAGCCAGGCCCTGGCAGGCTCTTCAGCCAGCTCCTCTGACAAGTCTGGGATCAGGGCAGTTTGATCTCGCTGGAAGATGAACAGCTCCTCTGGCTCGCAGTCTGACTGTGGACAAATGAGAGGACTTTTGGATTATGGGGCGGCAGGCAGAGCCAGGAGGGCCTCAGGCTCCAGGCGCCCTTGCCCTGCTGCTCAGAGTGATCTGGGGAGATCAGTTTTCTCCCAGAGGCCCTTGCCCGGGCTGCGTCCTGCCACTGCTTTAGAAGAGGGCTCGGCCACACAGCCTTGTGAAGGTGAGATCCAGGGCTCCCCGTTCTGCGCATACCTGCTGCTCCCTAAGACCTTGCACATAACAGGTGCCCAGTTAATGGCCAGCATCGAATGAACAGGGCAGCGAGGTGGTAGCTGAAAGAAGAGCCCAGCTCTCCCCCTGCCCCGCAACCTTCAGCCAACACTTAAATGACACAGAGCCTTGGTGCCTCTAAGGGGAGAGGGGACACTTAGAGTTCCCAGCTCACCTCACAAGGATATCTGAGGGTGAGAGCAAACGAAGCTGGAGACATGACAAGGCACTGGGGTCACATTATCTACTCTCCATTAGCCTTGCCATGCACAATGGCCCGTGAGGATGCCAAGAATCAATAAATGTATTCAGAGAACAAAAACTGAGATTATGATAAACACAGAAGCTGATAAGCTCCAAAGCTGTTCATGGGGCAGCATCATGTTTGCCATGGGAAGAAAGAGCAGTCGGGGCCTAGGAAGACATAGGAAGAAGGTGCTTGCTTACCGAGGAGGAATCTGAGTCCAGAGATGGGAGCTGCTCCCTGACGGCCTTGAGGATGGCATCCCAGGGCCCTGTCTGGGAGGCCCAGCGAGGTGAGGACTCCTCATCTTTGTCATGGGATGCCATGCGGGCCCAGGCTCCGGGGTGATTCTCAGCATGCCATCATCCAAGCAGCCCTGCAGGGGACACAGGGTGAAGTGAGAGGGTCCTGGGGCCAAGGGTCAAGAGCTCAGGATGGGGTAGGGGGAGAGGGCTGCCTTTTCAAAGCACCTACCACACTGTGGGGGATGAACACAGACTCCCAGACCTCCCACTTGGGTTTCCCTTCTGGTTCTGCGGGTTCCTATTCCTGCCAGTCACTGTGCCCGCGCTGTGTGTTTGGTGCAGGTGGAGCCCAGATATGGCTGACCCCCGAGCAACACGGGTTTGAACTGCGCCAGTGCACTGGTATGCAGGTTTTTTTCTATAAATACAGTTCAGTACTGTAAATGTGTTTTCTCATGATTTTCTTAACATTTTCCTTTCTCTAGCTTACTTGATGTGGGAATACAATATATAAAATATTTACAGAATATGTGTCAATTGACTAATTATGTTATCGGTTAGGCTTTCAATCAACAGTAGACTATTAGCTAAGCTTTGGGGGGAGTCAAAAGTTATATGTGGAGGGGTGCCTGGCTTGCTCAGTCAGTAGAGCATGTGACGCTTGATCTTGGGGTTGTAAGTTCAAGCTCCACACTGGGTAGAGATTACTTAAAAATAAAATTTTGGGCGGGGGGACACCTAGGTGGCTTAGTTGGTTAAGTGTCTGCCTTTGGCTCAGGTCATGATCCCAGGGTCCTGGAATCGAGTCCCGCATCAGGCTCCCTGCTCAGCGGGGAGCCTGCTTCTCCCTCTGACCAATCCTTTTTTATTTTTTTTCAAAGATTTTATTTATTTATTTGACAGAGAGAGACACAGTGAGAGAGGGAACACAAGCAGGGGTAGTGGGAGAGGGAGAAGCAGGCTTCCCGCAAAGCAGGGAGCCCGATGTGGGGCTTGATACCAGGACCCTGGGATCATGACCTGAGCCGAAGGCAGACGCTTATCTTTTTTTTTTTTTTTTTAATTTTATTTATTAGAGAGATACAGTGAGAGAGGGAACACAAGCAGGGGGAGTGGGAGAGGGAGAAGCAGGCTTCCCACAGAGCAGGGAGCCCGACACGGGGCTCGATCCCCGCACCGTGGGATCATGACCTGAGCCGAAGGCAGACGCGTAACGACTGAGCCACCCAGGCGCCCCTGCCCAATCCTTTTTTAAAGATTTTATTTATTTGTCAGAGAGAGAGCAAAAGCAGGGGGAGGAGGCAGAGAGAGAGAGTGGAATGATGGTACTTCAGAGCCAGTGTCTGGACATCCCTTGCAGCGCCAGAGGCCACTGTGAGTGGGTAATGGGAAGAGAGCACTGTCCGGCTAATAACCCATCAGGGTACCAGCAGGAGATGTGATTGGTGGGGTACTTGCTTCTGTGCTTGGTGCACCCTGAACTGTGAACAGCAGGGTGCGGATGCAACACACATCAGGGGATGTTTTTTTTTTGGAAGCGGGGCTCTGTAGGGCAGATTGTAGAACAACAGAATCACCGAAGTGAAGGCGGCTACCAGAGACTAGGTTCTTGTAGGCAGGCAAGGCAACAGAGGAGGCAAAGGCACTACAGGCTACAGGAAGAGCATGTACATTGGCTCAGAGGAGCGGAAACTGCCCAATATGTTGTGGGGTAGAAGGTATCAGTTGCTGGAATATGCGGTGAAAACGGACCAGATCGCGCAGGGTCGTGAACGCGCAGGTGAGGATTTCGGACTGGGGTTAATGCCTAAAGCTAAGCCAAAGAGGAGCTCCAGTCTCTTCCGAATCCTGGCGGTACCTCCATGTCCGTTTCTTGGCTGCAGCCCGTTAGCCCCGCCCCCGGCCCCGCCCCTGGCCCCTCCTGCCCGGGGGGCGCTCCGTTGTTATGACAACCAGACGCCAACGGCCTCCCGGGTCAGGCTTTTAAAATCTAAAGCTGGGAAGCAGGAAAACACATCGCCCACCTTCCCAGCCACCCTCACTCCCTGTTTCCCGCCGTCCTGTCCGAATCCCGGCCTGTACCTTCGCAGCTGCGGCAGACCCGAGGCCACTCACCTCAGGCCTCCGCCTCCCCTCCCTGCGCGGTCCTGACAGGGCTATAAACAGTCCCCAGTGCGTCCCTCCGGTCGCGCTCGCCCCCTCGGGCCGCGGCGCAACTACTGAGGCTCTCACGGCCTTTGGAATCCCCCCTCTGCAGAGTCTTAGATTACTGGACTGCCAATCGCACTTTTCCCGCGGCTAGTCTTTCGGGACTCGGCGCGGCCTGCCTCTCTTGAAACAGGATTGGTTCCCCCGGCCAGGGGAGGGGCGGGGCAGGGCGAGCTCCGCCTGTTCATTGGCTGACGTGGGCGTCACATAGCGAGCCAGGCGAGCTGACCGGAAGGTTCGGGTGCGGGACGGACGAATTGCCCGGCGGCGCCGGGAGCTGCCCCGCGGCCCGGCGAGTGTCCCGGCGTGCTCCGCGCCTCCCGCAACCACTTCCGGGGCGGGAGCGGGGCCGCGGGGTCCGGGCGCTGCGGCGGCAGCCCGCGCGGAGGGAGTCCGGGCGAGCTTGGCGGAGAACGAGCCGGCCTGAGGGAGTGCGGCGGCGGCTGTCCGGGGCCCAGCGCAGGTAGGCCTGGTGGCGGCCGGGCTCCCCCGCCTGGTGCCGGCACCTGCAGCCCGCCTGCGGGGCCCGGCGCCAGACGGCCCGGCCCTGCCGCTTGCTCGCCGCGTGAGTTTCTGACTGCGCTTCCGCTTCTGCAGCGGTGCGGCGGGGACGACAGAGCCACGTGCCGTGTAGGGCTACCGGGAGGAGGCGTCAAGGGACGTCAGTACAGTCGGGGCTCGGGGTGTTCCCGAAGGACCCCCCCAGGGCCTGAGAACCAGGGTGGGTACCCCGGTTCCTGCGAAAGGCATACGCGCCGAGACGAGACTTCCTTTAGGCATGGCGGCCGACCACCAGCGTCATTATTTTTTAGTTAAGATTTTTGGTTTAGAGGAACGGCCGCTGAGCGAGTATACAAATATATGGATGAGCATAACCGTTTTATTCATAACAAATACCCCGTCATTGTAGAGTATGGCATGTGGTGGGGTGATAAAAGAAGTAGCGGTAGCTTTGTGGCCCCTTGGCATCCGAGTTCTCCCTCCCTAGGCTCCTTGAGCCGGGTCTGGTTCTGATTGCCACCCTGCAGGGTGTCAGCCGTGTGAGCCTCCCTCCAATAATGGGAGACCATTTGGACTCCACCCTGGCATTTGGAGTAGAAGAGACACACCCACTGGAGGCTTGAGGGGTGTATTGAAAGGGGCCCTGAACTGGCACTCGGCTTATTTGGGTTCTTAACCAGTGTCTCTTGGCCAGGACTGTTCAGGTTGGGGTTTCTCACCTGCTCAGTGAGAAAGCTGGTTGATCTCAGGCCTTGCGGGTGTGAGGAGGTGGTGGTATCAGAAAGCAGGGCTTTGCTCTGAACTTGGTTACTTAACAGCCCCTCTCACATGTACACATACTGGCCAAGGGCTTACAAATTCTTTGTCTCCCAAATTGGTGGCTTGTTGCTTGTTTGGCTATCTCAGTTGTTACCTGGAGCTTGGAAGCATTCTTTAGTAGAGACTGAGGTCCTAGTGGCATCTGTGAATTGCTGGGGCACCTTTAGGCCATCTGAATGGACCCGACCTTTGTTTTCTCCTTTTCTCTCTTTTCTATACTTGCTTTCTTGTTCTTTCCCACCCATAGTAGAGAAGGAGACAAATGTTACTCTTGGACCTAAAGGTTCTAATAGGAAGCTAAAGGCTTGGCATTGATTTGGTTAGGATTCCCAGGATAAGGGACTGTCATAATCGTAGACTTTTTTTTTTAAAGATTATTTATTTATTTATTTATTTGAGAGAGAGAATGAGATGGAGAGAGAGAGCATGAGAGGGGGGAGGGTCAGAGGGAGAAGCAGACTCCCTGCTGACAGCAGGGAGCCCGATGCGGGACTCCATCCTGGGACTCCAGGATCATGACCTGAGCCGAAGGCAGTCGCTTAACCAACTGAGCCACCCAGGCGCCCCAATCGTAGACTTTTCATCCTGGTGGTGTTGCATCTCTGGGAAAGTTCCATTACTCCACAAATTTACCAGTCTATCACACCGCCCCCCCCATCCCTGCCCACCATCTGTCCCACTTTCAAGGAATTCATAGGTGGATTCCTGCTCAGTTAACATTCACTGAATACCAATCACATCCTAGTTTCTGTGCTGGGACTTTCTTTTCAAGATGTATTTATTTAAAAAACTTTTTTTCTTAAAGATTTTATTAATTTGAGGGCGCCTGGGTGGCTCAGTCGTTAAGTGTCTGCCTTCGGCTCAGGTCATGATCCCAGGGTCCTGGGATTGAGTCCCACATCGGGCTCCCTGCTTCACCCACGGGAAACCTGCTTCTCCCTTTCCCACCCCCCACCCCCGCTTGTGTTCCCTCTCTCGCCATCTCTCTATCAAAATAAATAAATAAGATCTTAAAAAAAAAAGATTTTATTTATTTGAGAAAGAGAGAGGGATCATGAGCAGGGGAGAGGGGTAGAGGGAGAAGCAGACGCCCCGCCAAGCAGGGAACCCAGTGTGGGGCTCGATCCCAGGACCCTGGGATCGTGACCTGAGCCGAAGGCAGATGCTTACCTGACTGAGCCACCCAGGCACCCTATTTGTTTAAAATTTTTATACAGTAAAATTCACTCTTTTGATGTTTGGGTCTGTGGGTTTTGATTAATGTATAGAGTCAACATACCCACCAATCAAGATACAGAACAGGTATGTCACCCCCAAGTTCTCTCTTGCTGTCCCTTCGAGGCTCCCCTATTCCTAATCCCTGGTACCACTGATCTGTCCTCCAGCCCTTCAGGTTTGTTTTTTCTAAAATGTCATATAAATGGAATCATACAGTAGGTAGTCTTTGAGTATGGCTTCTGTTTGCACAACTGTGTTTGAGATTCGTTCATATATTATGCATATCAACTGTTTCTTCTGCTTATTACTAGCGTTCCATTATATGCTATTCTGCCATTTATTTATCCATTCTTCCATGTGTTTTAACAGCAGCCCTTTGAGCTATGTCCCCATTAGACAGCAAGGAACTAGGGACTGGAGATGTTAAATAGCAGAGCTAAATTTTGATATGACTCCAAGTCCAGGGTTCTTTCCCACCCCACCCAAGAGGTGATTTGGTCCAGTGACTCAATTAGCATTTCTTGACTGCCCATCCAAGAGGTTGTCAGGCTTCCTGAGTTGCTGGAGAATTCCCTTTGCAGAACTGGGGCCTGAGGATTGTTGAAGGAAAGTATACACCGCAGTGTGTGACTCACCATATGTGCTCCTCTTTTTCTGTCTGGTGACAAGCTCACCAGTATTAGCAGGATGGAGCTGCCCAAACCCATACGGTATTTAATAAAAATTTTCTAAGTCTGTCCCAGGAGTTGACTGCATTGAGTCTGCTAGGATAGTGACATCGAGGCCTACTGCAGGTAGGAGTGTAACCGTCGTGTTTCACTCCCTGGAACAACCAGGAAGGAAAGACCTAACCCCTGGGTCTCCCTCCACAGTGATGTCGGAGCTCAGCGATGAAGCTAGTGAGCCAGAACTGAACCGCAGCTTGTCCATGTGGCATGGGCTGGGTGCTCAGGTCAGCCGGGAAGAGCTGGCCGTCCCCTTGGATCTTCACACAGCTGCTTCCATCGGCCAGGATGAAGTGGTGAAGGAATGTGTGCAGCGGTAAGAGATCTTGGGAAATGTTCCTTCTGCTTAGATTTTGAGTACCGTCTCTGTGGCTTCACATCCCAGACAGAGCTGTCAGTAAGCTCATGGGGCCTCACATAGTCGTAGACATTTCAGACACACAGATCAATCCCCGTGTCTCTTGGACAGTGGTCAGTAATGATTTATGCTGGACACTAATAAGGAAGTCGGTTTGTATTCCTCGGAAGAAAGAGAGGTTTTAAACTTTTTTCATAGGCTTATGAAACGTTTCAGGCTTTCTGTAGAGTCACTTAATGGTTTTTATGAATTGCAGAAATGTTCAAACAAAACAAAAATAAAGTGATGCCCTGTGGCCTTCTTTCCCCAGAAGGTTCATTTTTATCTCTTTTACCTTCCTTTCCCTTCTAGCTTTTGCTATAGAGGAGGAAGTGGGGTTTATCTTCCTCTCTGGGGGTTGCCACCTGCAGTCTTATACATATGTTAATGTAGTTTTTGGAAAAGGACCCATCTCCTCCTCTCCACCCCCTTACTGACCTACCTCCTTGTTTCAGTTTTTCATCAATAACTTGGACAAACGACCTGTGTCCGTACCCATATGTGCCTTTTTCAGTTCCTGGGGAGCCAAAGCAAAGCCTCATTTGAGTCCCAGGTTTCTGGTTCCCAAGTCCTAGCCATTATTTATGAATATTTGGCCAGTCGAGTACAAGTGCGGGCCTGTGGTAAGGGACATTCTGTCATACTCCTGTACCAGGTGGCCTTAGGAATGTGCAGCTGGGCACACAGGCAGCACATTCCCTCATAGGGTCACTGAGACCCCAGTTACAATTCTGCTCCTTCGGCATTCTTGGGCTTTTAAGCCTTTGGGTGTGCTGTTTAAATTCACGGTCCCAAATGGCTCCACAGGGGAGAGGGGAAGTGTCTGTGCTCTGATTGGGATTGTGGCCCTAGCTGACACTGAGGCTTGGCCACAGTAAGCATAGACCAGGGGCCTGAGGGCAGGGGAGGCCTGCGAAGGGAGGATTGGGCCCACCTAGACATGTCAGAGCCTCAGAGATGCTCTGCCAAGGGCTAGGCTCTTCTCCACGTGGAACTGAGCACTCCCACAGTGAAGGTCGTGTGGCCAGGATGAATTGGTCTCTGTGCGCTCTCCCAGCCAGTGGCCGCCACTGCATTCCTGGGATCAGGACCTTCTGAAATGGCTGCGTGGGCATCCCAGAGTTACTAGAAGATGCTAGTGAATGGAAAATAATTGTCTGTGTAGCTTCCTGTGTGCGTACCTCTGAGAGGCACAGACTGGATTGATTGTCAGTTGTTGCCTCTGCTGGAGGCAGGGATTGCGCGAGAGGAAAGGCTGTGGGACATGAGCTATTCAGGGTGTCCTGGAAGTGGATGTGATTTCCATGCCCCAACCCCAGACTCTGGGCCTGGAAGTCCATG